ATTTCTTCATTCCAGAAAATTCAGCTGCAAAAATCTTGACTATGTTATATTAAAAATAATAAATCATTTAGCCTGAAAGAACAGAAAAATATAAAGAAGAGAAATACTGAAATATATCGCCAAAAATTATTTTCACTTAAAAGGAATGAAAAAAAAATGACACTGCAAGTGCCTCCCTGTGTCCCAGAAGCTGCTCCAAGGGCAGTGCTGGGGTTGTGCTCTCCCATGGAGGGTGGAGCAGCTGGATGCAGGATGCACTGCACCCGGATCCTGCATCCTTCCTCACAGCAGAGTTATTTTATGAAATCTCTTATTAGCCTGAAATCTGACACACAATGCATCACTTTTTGTTCATGAAGCAAATCTTGAGAAAATTCTTGAAACTCTTCAGTTTTTACCCTGTACTGCACCAAAGCTCTGGGCATACTGCCCTAGAAGTCAACATGGGGTTTTTTTCTGGAGAATCATTATTTCTACGTTTCAAAAATTGCATACAACATGTTGCCTCTGCCCCAGTCCGATTCCCACAGCTCCAGGGGAAGCTAACCTGCAAAAAAAAAAAAAAAAAAAAAAAAAAAAAAAAAAAAAAAGCACAGCACAAAATACTGCTGTCTCTCAGTGAAGAGTTGATTTCCATCACTGTGTAACTCTCCCAGTGCTTGTGGCATTTCCCTGCACACAGATCCAAACTTTTGGGCTGCAGGAGCTGCAGAGGCACTGCAGGGCACCCTCTGCAGGTGCCAGCCAAGGAGAGGAGATGGGCTTTTCCTTTTTCAGAGGGAATAACTCTGCAATCAGAGCTTTTAAAAAGAGCCCTGATGGTGGCTACAAGGATTCGTTGCTTTGTTTTTAAGGCTCAAACAAGTGCTAACATCCAATTATCTTCGCTGGGAATAGTGGCACCCCAAACGTGCTATATTGCCCTTAATTTGTACCTTACATGCCTCGTAACTCATAGGAGGTACAGATTTAGTAAAAGGATGGGGGTTATATTATTGTTACATCTAATCACACCTTTCCACTTGCAAACTTCTTGTTCTCTACCCATATTCCACAAAATATTTGTTCAAGCACATGAAAGTTATTCAAATTTGGACTTTTGACTGACTAGAGATTGATACTCTCTAATATGAATAGAGGTTATCTACAGCTTATTTGGCACTGATGTCAAAAAAATCTGCAAAGGAAAAGATGTAAGGAGAAGAGAAAAATGTAGACAGGAGAAATCTGTCTGGAATAGGGAAAGTGGACAATTGATAATTTAATTTTCCTGCATAAAACTTGTGCATTCCCTGCATACAATTTTAAATACATTTGTAGAGCACAGAGATCATTTCCATCCAGAGAGAAACAGTGTGAGAAATGACCTCAGATTCTGTGGGGGAAAATTCCTGCTTACAATTTACTCAATTGATTGTATTTTCATCTGTGGATGCAAACACATTAGGGCTATTTATTTTTCATCCCAGCTTTGGCTGTTATTGTTGTTGTTTGGTATTTGGAAGAGTCCTCCTGGGAGGGCAGAGAACACCAAGCTCGAGTGTGCTGCCGTGGTATTTAGGTGATTAATCAGAACTTCTGGGATGCAGGCTTTCAAACCCTGCAGTGACAAAAGTCTCTGGGGGAATGAGGGGCACAGGGGACCGAGCTCTGGGTGGTCCAGATTTCCTCACCAGGACAGCACAACTCAGCAAGGCCAAGCAGCTACGACACAAAGGTCACTCGGAGCCTCAGGTTTAATGCTCAGCCACATTTATCAAACCCACAGCATCCCGAGGAGCACAGGTAGGGGCTCTCAGCACTTTAGAGATGTAGGAAATGCAGCACAGAGTCACACACGTGTTTTTAAAGCCCTGGCATGGGTCTCAAATTCCCCATTCTGCTCAGACCATCGTGACCAAATAGCAATTCCCTCATTACTATATTAAACAATAGCAGTTGTGCCTTAGTTGCTCATCTCTGTACTGAGCTGAGAACGTTGGTGCTTTTAAAGACGCCAGCATTTTATTTTGTTAGGGGTGTTTTTTTCTTTGTCTAAGCTTTCAAAGCAAAGCAGAGAGTTCATTTTTCTCCATTACCACTGACTGCTTGCAAGTTTCTGTTCCTGGAGTATTTCATAAAGGCTACAGATATGCTCTCCAAACAATACTGTGAAAGTAGGAACAGGAAAACACTAACAGAGGCACTGGGGCTCTTGAGACATTAAACTCTTTCAGGTCCTAGGAAATAAAATTGGGTTTACCCTAGTCTTGTGCTTTCTTTCTGGACTGCTCAGAATGTGCTCATACTATCTCACAGTGAGTGTTCAGAAGCTGTTAAGAGACAACAAATCAAAACACAACCAAGACCTGACAGCACAGGGCCTCCCAGCCAATGGGGGAAACCCACATAATAAATCTTCTGGTTTAAATCCTGTAAATTCTGTATGCTAGCAACATTTGAATGGATGGAAAGAAAATCTTCTACAATAGAATTGAGGGACAGGAGCTGTTAAGAACATTTTCTCTGCCAAACCCTGCTATGGCTTAGATGGTGTGATAACAGACTGCACAATTAGTATTAAACATGACTTTTCAGAAAAGCTGGGATGAACTCGGGTTTAGGCAAAGCTTTCATCCATTTGATCATATAGAAACCACTCCTGGGTGCAGGGAATCACTGAAACCAAAGTGGCTGCACACACAACTGTCCTTGGGTAGTGGGAAACTCTTTGTGCTAAGTAATTCCCCTTGCCTGTCCATTATTTTATTTATGTCCATTATTTTTTGAGAAAGAAAGATAGAAAGGTGTGATAAAAAGAAAAGAAAAAAAAAAAGCAGCAAGATCCAAAGACAGATTATTAGTTCCTCTCACCTCTACTGAACTTCTGGAAAACTTCTGCCATTGACATAGGAAGTCTCAGGACAAAATCAGAGCATTCAACAGCAGCACCTGCACATGTCTCCAGCAAGCTTATTAAAACTTGTTAAACTTATTAAAACTTATTAAAACTACCCAAAAAAAGCATTTGGTATGAAGTTCTTGAAAACAGAGCAAATCAGAGTGAGCCTGTGCTGCAGCACATGCTGCCTGCCACGTTTTACACCCAAAATATGGGAAATGGAATGCTTTTACTTCATAGCACTAATAGCAGCCACCACAAAAAACATATTCCAGGAGAATTAAACTCAACATTTTATCTCAGGAATCAACAGTTTTATTTGCCAGTAACATTACTGAAAATTTTTGCTTTGGCCAAACAAGCATCCATATAATTTTTTCTACTTGCAAATTGGTTGTTTTGTTTTTTTAATTTTTGTATTTCCTAGCAGGGAGATTAGACTTGTGAATATCTAACAGAGGAAGGGGATGGCATCCTGTGTTTCACCAAACACATCCACAGAGCCACATGCAAACACAGAGACACAGAAAAGATGGAGAGGCAGGACCTGCCATGCTCCATCAGAGGCTGCTGCAGTGCCAACCATCTCCTGCCCAAAGCCATGAGAAAACAAGAATTGCCATGTAAAACACTGGAAAAAAGTTCCTGTTAAGTCTCACACCTGACCTCAGCTTCAAAATCAATTTTTCATCAATACTGAATAGAGGAACAAGGACTGCAGCCTTTAGGTTCTCATCATTTCAAAGTGCTTCACAGCACTAAAAAAATTAATAAATATAAATCCTAAATGAGGTCAAGTGGGGAAGACTCTGCCCATAACTTCTCTTTTCCTGCACATCAATGATGTGCTTCTGTGTGAATGTAACACCTGAAGAATCAATTCCAGCTGTACTTTAACTAAAACTCAAAATAAACAGCTACAGGATGTGATGAAGCTACCTGCTAATTTTTTATCTAATATATTTATCTTTCCCTCCAGCTTCTCACAGATGGCTGCTGCTTCTGAGGTCCACATCTTCACAGTTCTCCAAACTAAATCTAACACTCACACTGACAGTGTAAATTATGGGCTAAATAAAAATACCAGTGAAAGAGAGAGAGAGAGAGAGAAATGTTTCAGGGACTAGTGCTAAAGAAAAGACAAGCAAATCATTATTCTATATAATATAGATATAAAGCATATAGTAGCTTATCTATGTTCAGCCTGAGCAGAATAACAGGAAAAAGGGAGATTCAATCAGAATGAAAAGCAATAAATCCAGATACACAACCATGAGTTCACCAGATTAAAAAAAAAATAACAACAAAAACCCCCAGAAAAGGTACAGAATAATTACCAGCTAAGTGGCCTATGCAGGAATTTTCTGTCCAGTTATTGCATACCTTTACACTATCATTACATATCTCTTCAGAGGAGTCAAGATGCATTGTCTTTGCTTTTGAATTAAATGGATTTAACCCCTCTGCACATCAGGATGTTGCCTGGGATGCATTGCCTCTCTCATTCTGTGGAAGCACTGCTTTTATCTCACCAAAGACACACAACTCCGAGGTAATGTGACACAATGTGGTGATAGAAACCTAAATACTGATGCTTTAAAGCTATCACACAGAAACCTTTCGTTGACACCTTTTTTTTAATACAGTGCATTGAGATAAAATCATAGCTCATTTCAGAACTGTACCTGCACTAATTTAAGTAGTCATAGCCTGTTTCAGAACTATGTCTGCACTAAAAAGAAAGTTTACCAAAGAGCATGTCAAGTTTCTTTTGTACATCTGTGGCAACAAATGTTTCCCAGTAAGTACACCACAGCATTTATGTGAAAAATTAAACTGGTAAGAAGGAAATTATAAGTTTACAACTTTAATAATATTATTCACCGTTCCCTGTTCTTCTTCACAATTAAACTGTTCCAATTTCTCTTTCTTCCCACCTCGGAATTTTTGACTGTAAAATCTCTACGGTAAGATTTGTTTCCAAGAAAACAGTGTATTTTGCTTTCCAAAATCTGCAATTGAGGACAACTCAACTGTAATTTCCCAACCCATCTGAAGGAAATCTTATTTCATTATTCTGTCTGAAGCTAAGTGGAAGCAGTGAGCGGATTTCTCTTACCTGTTTGTGAGCATGATCATAAGAATTAATGTGATTGTCAAACTCCTGGTGTTTGTAGTACTGCTTGTCACAGAGTTCACAGTAGAAGTTGGCTTTAAGATCTTCCAGAGCTTTTGCTATCGTGTTTTTCTTTCCAGCATAATCCTGGAGGGGGGCAGGAAAAAGTAATTTTAGTTTTGCCTTTGATGCTGCGAATGGATGTTGTGCTCTGCAGTTAATCACATTTGTAAACATTTACACACATCTGTAACTAAAAGCCTTCCCACATTTGCTGTGTTACACTGCACATATTTACTGCATCTGCTGTGAGGCTGAAGATTTGCACACTTCAGTTTGTTATACAATTGCCAGCTCCCCTTCAGGGCTCTGTCAGAGGCTGGAAGGATTTCCCTGGGTTCTATTTAAATACAAATAGTTATCATGCTGAAGGCTATTTTCAAGTTAATTTTGATCCAAGCCTCGCTCCTCAGTGATATACTCAAGCACAAAAATCACAAAGATACAAATGGCAATGATTTAGTTACAAGGCTTTTACAAGAAAGTTTGCTTACTAGAGAAAGAAACAAACAAAACCCCCCAAAATTAAAGAAACTACTAGGTCCTTCTTGGGCATTTTCACAGATGAGATGTAATTAATATCTTTCTCACCCTGTGTTTGACATCCCATACACACACATCTCTGTTTACCATACATTAGCCAATGCATCACATGCAACTCTGCTTATCATTGACGAGAAAATTACATACAAGATTTTTTTAATTCCCTAAATGCACTGGTGGTAATGTGGCCTGTTGTGAAAGAGCATGGAAATGGTGTGTCATGTCAGATTAGTGTAATACCAGTTAAACACTGAGCATGGACAACCTCAGTGCAATGGTTCCTGCTATAGATAGAATCTCAGGCCCAAATCCCAAACATGTCAAATATTGTTTAACAAAATCAACCCCCTCGGATTTATTTCTCAGAGTTTCTTCACTGTGAGTTCTTTGGTTCAGGTAGATTAAGATAAAAGATAATATTGTAATCAGAACATCCCAAACCAAGTTAATCTGGAGGAAAAAACTGTATTTGCTTGCAGTTTTCACAGCTGGCAACTCGTATACTTCCAATATATTTTGGGGACTTTAAAACGGAAAATTTATGTTTATCAGATTAGAATATTTTCATAACAATGCTGTTTATGCTCAAGAGAGAGGAACAGTAGTTGTAAAATTAAAATTATATCCAGAAAGTAGTTATTATTTAAAGTAGCACTTTAACTATAATTCAGCATGATTGGACTGCTAGCAAACACTCTTGATTCATACCCAAACTGAAATACTCCCTCACCAAAATTTTGTCCATTAATAGAATTGCACAAGTCACTTCAGAGTGGTGTTTTGAATATTGGCTGACACATGACAAATTCACACATTCCTAACACTTCTCTACAGTGATGTTTCATAAAATCTGTTCCATTTAAATCCAAAGTGAGTTAGCATTTTATTTCAAGAAATAGCAGTGCTTTACACTTGAAAATGCATTTATGTATTATGGTAATTTCACCTGGAAACCCTGCACTTAGCTCTTGGTATCAACTAGTAAAGACTACAGGTTTTAAACCTCTTCAAGTATTTCCAGGATACTATGTATGGAAAGCAATGGAAATACCATGAAGACTCTATGGAGATACACTACCTTGAAACAATTTAAAAGCAATTCTTGTAGTCTACAAAGGGAGGACACCTAATTAAAACATAAAAAGAAAAATCTGAATTTGGGGGAATTATCAGAACTCTGGAACACTACTAAACATATATATATATATAATTATACGAGGACAGTCAACATGATGGATCCTGAGACAAGAACAGTAAACTGAATAATAATTCTCCATAAAGATCTTACACCATGCTGTTGATTAACTCTCAAGCAAACATTTGTTAAACTTACTAATGCTGTGAAATACCTCGAATAAAGTTATGTAACTTCACTGGTGGTGTCCTTGACATAAAGCACCATTCTTGAAAGATTATACTTTCTTCCTAGCAAAGCCTGACCTGAATGCAGTTACATTTGGCATGCCAATGCATATTAATGAGGCAGGGACACTGGAACTCCATGGAAAACTTTACTGCAAAGGATCTTGAGGTTTTTATCACTAAATTCCTTCAGCTGGGGTGGTTTTTTTGGGGGCACAGGGTTAAATTTGCATTACAATAGTACGTCAAAGTTTCAGAGGTAAGTAAAGAATGGCAACACATCTAAATTAAATGCGAGGAGATGGGATGGAATACAATAATGGCCCTCAATCTTGCCTGGAGAAGGGACTTTTAAATGACAAGAAGCAGAAGTATTTGACCTTGGGAACATATGAATGGCTGTATTGGTTCAACCTATTAAACCTGTGCAAGATTTTCATCTGTACAAGTAAGGAAAGTGACTCTTAACCTGGCACCATTCCCTTTGCTTTGCACCTGCATTCTGCTGCACTTTGGGAAAGGTCATAAACACTTACCTTTCATTCCCTTTGTACCCCCACCACACCTTCTCTCAGGTATTGTTCCCTCAATGACACAGTTCTGGCTTATTCATGCATCCCTTACATCACTCATCACCTCTGCTTATCCTTTCCCAGTCCCCAAGAGAAGATCTAAGAACATGCTACACCACAGCACCATGCACAAATCCATTCCTTGTCTCTGTTTGCTACCCTCTCCTTTTCAGAATGTTTTTTAAAATCATAATGCAGCACTAAAGCAACACTTTTATACAACTCCTTTATCATCCACATCCTTTGTTGCTGTATAACATTTTGCTGGGAGGTGTTTCTATGCAGCTACTAAACTTCACCCGGCTTTAAAAATTCCCCATTTCTCCAGGGGCAGCAGTGGCTCAAGACAAACCTCAAGACTTCAGCCAATTGTATTTCACATGCACAGACACAGAAATCCCCTTAAGAACACCCTTACAGGGCAGTGTTCAGGTTCTCTGCTCTTGTGGGATTCCCTGGGCTAGGCTGGGACTGAGCCAACTGCTCCTGCTGCTGGGAGTGAGCAAATTCCAGTGCCACTGGGAGTGAGGAAAGGCTGATTTCAAGGATCAGCAGAGACTGGAAAAAGGAGAACAGAGTTCTGGTTCTCTGCCTCCTAGGCTGGTACTAAATATGTTGTTATTTTGGAAGGAGTTCTGGCTTGGCAGAGAAGGCTTTCCCTAACTCTATCCATAACGATGAGGGATAACTTCCCAAAAACTGACAGTAGAAAATTACAGTGCCTGGACCTTGAGAGCAGTGGACAATGGACTGCAGACAGAAATAACCTGGAAATTTACTGGAGAATAATATTCCTGGAGTAAAGTAGCAGCCAAAAACTCACTTAAACTGGTTAAATATGATCAAGCTTAGTTTCATTTTCATCAAGATTTGCAAACCGTCCTGCAAATTTTAAAAGAACTTTGAATTATGATTCAGCCTGGTAATAAAACTCAGAACTGAGTGTCACTTAGTTTCATTTTTTTTTTCCTGAAAGGCTTATTATCTGAAAGCCTACAGCTATAATTCACTGTAGCTATTTTTCATAATTTATATGAAAGATCTCTAATAAGTGATCCCATCTATCAGCTAGCTTTATTTCTCTAAATCCATCTCCTCCATTCTCCAAAGCCTTAAGCCTGTGCAAATGCTCCTGCAAACATCTGATAAATTGGATTAAAAGCAGGCTTTATTCACAGAAGGGCTGTCACAAACCAGACTGGACTTTGTGCCCCCATTACAGGAGAGAGAGAAAGAAGGAAAACTACAGGAGTGATGCACTCTTTATACAGATAACTTTGGAGAGCTCCCTGGATGCCTCAGCCAAGGGGATATTTTTATGGAGTGCACTTCAGGCTCATACTTCTACTATCTGCAGAACGGTCAGCTAAACAAACAAACAAAAAAAAAAAAAAAAAAAAAAAAAAAAAAAAAAAAAAAAAAGGAAGAATGTGAAATTAAAATATATCGTCTATTCCATGGTGATTACTAGTGTGAATATTCTTACTTTAAAATAAATGTGAGCTCCTTTTATTGCAGTAAGCTATTCTGCATTTACTGTAGATTTAAAAGGGTCAGGCCTGCAATCACTGCAAAGCAAAATGTATTACAGAAACAAAGCCCTTCTTCAGGATAATTTACTGGTATAGTCATCCCAGAGAGGATTAGGCTGCTCTGGTCTGATCCTCTGGATTAGCACCCATTAGACCTGACAGATGTTCCAGTCTAACCTTGTTTCACAAAAAATATTAAAAGCATTTTTTCCTGTTGCAAAATTTTATTTTAGACATTAAAAAAAAAATCAAACTAATACTCTTAAATATTTATGTTAAAAAAAGCTTAAAACTATATTGTTACAGAAAAAAACCCCAGCCACAACTTAAGAGCACATTTTCCTATAGTTAATTAATTGTGACATCCATAAGCACAATTAACAAATTATTCCTTAATTTCTGGTATATTTACTTGGCATTATAAAGACAGCACAAAGAAGCAGATTTTGTGGAATAAATTGTACAACTTACCAACATCTCCTCAGCTATCAATTTTGGTATTACTTGGTATATATAATTTTTTTTTATATCTTTGCATAGCACTTTTTTTCCCCTATGTAAGCAGTCTATACATCATCCACTGATGTACTTGAAGGAATAAATAAAAAATGGAATACATTAATAATATTAGTATAGTCTAGTAACAAATCTAATTATTTATAAGGTTCCTGTCCTTATGAAGATGGGGAGACCAAAGCAAAAAGCAGTTAGATACATGGATCAAATTACTCACTGATCCTGACAAATTCATTTCCAAGCAGTGCAGGGGGAGTTTCAGTAAGGAGACAGACAACTGACTGGGAAAATAATTACCAAGAAAATTGTCAGGTCTTTTTGATTACCTTACCCGAAACTCTCCCATTAGCTGTGGGAGGCCATAGCAAATACAGCTCACAAGGCCACAAACTATTTCCATGATCCCTTCTGACATTCTCCTTTTGGGTAAAGGTGTTCCCAGCAGTGATCCCACTCTTTCACTGCACTGGGTGGGGATGAGCCAAAGGAAGGAGTGGTACCCTAAATTAACTGAACATCAGAGGCTGAAAAAACACCCACACTACCTTTATTTTTCCCTCAA